TACCTTTATTATAATGAATATCATATACCCAATGCCCAGATTTTTTCAAACTGTTAAATGTGATTTAATTGAATTTTAGATTTTCCCGTCGATTGATTGGACTGAAGTGCTCGGTCTCAGGTTGATATGTCGGCTTCTTGAGCAGATGCTTCGACGATGTCTGGACATTAATTGGTGGATGGTGACTAGCAGTGGAATGCAGGATAACGCGCATTTCGTTCTATTTGGGACCCGTTGCACAAGAGGTGGCTCCCATGGCCCAAGTGGTCTAGTGGATAACGCTTCGGCGTTTGAAACTATGAGCACTGGGTTCGAGCCCCGGATGGAACATCATCACTCACTGAGAAATGCATCCAAATGACGAGCCCCAAATAGGACGAAATGCGCGTTATCCTGGATTCCATTAATAGTTACAATCCACCAATTAAATGTTAAATGTGAATTTGGTTTGGACACATATATGTAGTTATTTCAGTCAAAGTATTTTTCTTCATAACTTGACGAACACTAATTTCCCGCACACCTTGTTGTTACTCTTATTTGAAATAATTAGTTCCTCATATGAATTTGAAAACAAAATATGTAGTTCAGTGAAGAGTCTTTTTTAGGCGAATTCACTTACTTAGCTGTACAATAACTCAAGTGTTGGTTTGCAAGGATTTGATAATGGATAGCAAACAATGTGAGCTTTAGGAGTGCGCCAACTTGGAATTGAACTCGAACCACGCGCGTGACTGGCAAGCATTCTACCGCTGAACCACCGACGCATCATCAATACGTTCGAGAAATTCAATTTGCCTCCTAATCTTTACACTACTTACTACTACTAAGTAGTGTATGCGAAAACAACATAATAACAGCTTTATTCTAAACACATACTACCGACCATAGAAAATACCTATTGAGTAAAGGAGAAAATAGAAGACAATTCAGGGAAGAAAATTTTCTTTATCGATGAAGTCATCTTATCCAGATCAATGTGAAAAGCCTTCTTTTTGGCTGAGATACGAATCAATTTCTACAGCCTCCAGATGATCAGTGGATGTATGAAGGATAAACTACCGCTTTAGAACACTTCAATGTGTGTTTACAAATTCATCGGTTCCTGTGAAGCTAGTTATATCGGCCGCACACTTTCAAAACGCATTTCTGAACATTATCCGGCATGGTTAGCAAAAGGACAATGCAAGACAGTTACTAGCTCAATTCTCGAGCACTTGGTGAACTCAAGCCACACAGTTCCACCAGAGTGGTCTTTCAAGATTATCTACAAGATGAGGCCAAATGGTACAAAGGGAGCCGTCAAGTTTTGACATTTGTGTATGGTGGAGGCGTTGGAAATTCGTCAATACAAGGTCGAACTCTGTATACAGAAAACGTTTGCCACTATCTCTTATTCTACCACGTCCTAAACCTTTTCATTTGTCGTTCCCTGTAGTTTATCCTTATTTTTAATGATTAATTTGCTTTTACTTTATTAATCAATTCACTAATATCACTCTCACATGTTTCTTTTGTTGCTTATTACATGTAATCTAATTGAGCAATTATTTAATTCTTATTTCTTTTTATTCCTTTACGTTGAAGTTTCAGTAGCAGTCTGTCTCTGTCTGGATTCAACATAGAACTTGGCACCAAAGTGCAGCAGTTCCAGTTGCCACGTTCCAAATACCACACAAAGGTAGACAAGAAAATGAGTGATGAAGAGAATCAATAGAGTTTTGACAAGTATAAGAGTGAAACAGAGTGAGTAATGGTAGAAAGGAGTATGAGAGATTACAGAGACTGAATACATCTGCGTAAGCTATTGACAACGAGGATTTTGAGCCATATCACCAACCATTGTATCCAGCCATTGATTCTTAGAGTCCCGAGGGCGGGCCCCAACCCGGAAGTCTGCATCTCCCTACCTGACTCAGTTTAACTGTCAAGGATTTCATGGATTGATGCGATGTTTTCGTTTGGCCACCACTTACTCTTTTCCAACCTGCACCTATATCAGCCTGCTGGTAATGCCCGTCGGGGGAGGCGATGGTTAGGCATGCGCACCACGTGGCCTAGCCATCTCAATCTATGTAACTTTATAGCCTCATCGATTGATTCTCCCTCTTTACCCAACACTCTACGCCTAACGTCAACATTACTTACCTTATTATACCACCTAACGTGAGAAAGAGATCGTAGACATGTATGATCAAAGACAGTCAACCTTTTCATGTCTTCAACTCGTATTGGCCATGTTTCAGAGCCACTGAATAGAGGAGGACAGAGCGAACTGCTGAGCAGTACACACGTCCCTTGGTTGATAGCCGGATGTCACGCCTACGCCAGAGATGGTGTCAGTTAGCGAAAGCAGCTCGAGCTTTTTGGATCTTCATACAAGATCTTCAAGTAAAATAGTATTCAGAAGTACATCGTATGCCTCTGTTATTCTATCTGAAGGAATATCCAAGTCTCTCTGATCTTTTTTCCTCATTTCTGTTGAGAAGTGCTTAGTATTACAGCAAACTGAGACTGTGCGAGTTCATATAGCGATCGAAAAACACGGTTAGATAATTAATTAAAACAATAAGAAATAGGAAAAAGTTTGTACATTATACCGGATGGAAATTTAGGTAGTTCAATGATATAAGTAGGCCACCAGATTATCATACGAAATATCTCCACTGATGGTTCAATAGTAGAATGCTTGCGAACTACGCACATGAGCCGGTTTCGATTCCCTGCCGACACACCCCTAAACCTTACCTAGTCGGTAGTAAGTCCAGTAAAGAGGTAAGGTTGGGTGTGTGGCTACCAACCTCACCATGTGAAAGAAACAAAACCACCAGCTCATGTCTGGAGCCCTATGTTCCACTCAGAAACAAAGGAACGGAAAAAGACACCTAAAGGACTGATGTGTTTTAATTTTAATAGTCATTGTTGTTGTCGATTATTCACTGGCTCAGAGCCATTTTTTCCTTCACGTTCCCAGTGGAACATAGGGCTTCAAGCTAGGGTCTTGAAGTTTCTGTAGCAGTGTTTATTTTATAGGATGGGGTTGCTAGTCTGCCTCATGCCCAACCCTCCGTCTTTACCAGTCTTACTACTGGCTTAGCGAGGTAAAGGAGTGCGTCAGCCGGGAATCGAACCCCGGACCATGTGCATGGTCGGCTAGCGTCCAAACCGCTACGCCACCGACGCAGAAAAACAAATCCTACACAAATCATGAATTATAGGTTCTAAGAGTCAATCAACTGTATGCTTGGTTTGGTATTTCGAAAGACCAGTTAGTCACTTCGGCTTCAGATTTTGAATAACAGTCTACACACAAGGTAAATGGCATTTCGAAATACGATTATTATGATCACTACTTACAAGGAAGACATATGAACAATTTAATTACATTATTGTAAGATAATAAGTCAACGTAGTTAATAGGAAAGAACGGAATAATCATACCGAGACTTAGATTAAGCCCCTCCAAGCAATGTAGCTGCAGTACATGTTTACGGGATACTAAGAACCAATAGCATATCACTGTTGGTGATATGACTCAAAACCCTTGTTACTATTCTTTCTTCGGTACAATTTCTGCTCAAGGTAGTTATTTGGGATTTTCTCTATTCCTCTACATTTGTGTGATATATGGAGTACGGCAAAGTGAATTGGTGCACTTCTGTGCAGAGTTCTACGTTGAAACTCAGTCAGTCAGTCAATCAGTTTACAGTGAAATCGAAAACAAATCACCTGCTCAATATGGTATAACTAATGACCTAGGGTCGGGAATCTAAATTCAGCTGTAGCTGCATGACACTTTGTTAAGAAGGGACGTAAAATATAACTGTATTAAAATAACACCAGCGTCGGTGGCATAGCGGTTAGGACGCTCGCCGACCATGCACATGGTCTGGAGTTCGATCCCCGGCCGACGCACTCCTTTAACTCGCTAAGCCAGAAATAATGCTGGTAAAGAGGAAAGGTTGGGCATGAGGCTAGCAACCCCATCCTGTAAAATAAACACTGCTACAGAAACTTCAAGCCACTAGCTTGGAGCCCTATGTTCCATTGGGGAACGTGAAGGAAAAAAATAATAATACCAGATATAAAAATAAAATGAAAAAGAGGCGTAATTATAAGGAAGGCTTTGTGTGCTTATGAAAGTCTGTGGGCAGTTATTACTTCCCTGTCCACATTGTGGAATTTGATCTCTTCTTGAAGTACCTGAAACAGTAGGAGCATTACTGTTGTGTGACTGCAGAGCCCAGGGGACACCTGCTTGGGACTAATCACACAAAGCCTGTTTGAAGTAGTTTGTGTCCTTATTAAGATCTTACCATCTGCCAAAAACTGCAGCAAGTTAAGTCTGGATGACAAATTTCAGGGTCGACCTTTTTTAAACCTCCTTCCTAGAGCTGAGGCAGAACAATCATCTGGAGGAAATACTTTACTGTTGTTATATCCTTATTCGCCAGGTGCTTCCGGCCTAAATGACCTTTTTGACCTGCTCATCGTATCACTGTGATAGGCAAGTCTGACTACCATATCTAGGTAGAAGATATCAGCCGATCAATTACTAGTGTGATCACAAGTATTAAGTTTGCTCGAAATATTACCAAAATAAAAAAAGCTTATGATTGTGTAACACAGTCAAAATAAATTGCTTCAGATATAGTTTCACTAAGACATTTAATGAAAATAATAGTGCAATTTCTACTCAAAGAAGCCAAATGAACTTACCAGCCACTCCTACTTGATGTGAAGCATAATTAGGCAGTCGACTTTCTCCTTCACCCAACCAACGAACTAGAGTCGCTTCTGAATCGCAAGCATGGTGAAATTTTAAACCCAAACCAAGCGGATATGGTTTACACAGAGTCGGGACAAGTTCACAGTGTTCTGATTTCAAAGTTACCCATATAGCTTTAAAACCCACAGGATCGTTAATTACATCACTGATATATTCTAAAGAAGATAAATTTTGTAGGGATATGTAGAAATTAACAAGAACAAACACGAACGAATGACATTCTTGCAGTCATTATTTTCATAAGAAATAATATTCAAATGAATTCCATTGAAACGATCAATTCTTTTGGAGATTTCAGTTGTATTATTCAGAAACCGGAGACATTGAAAACTCGGTAATCGTGAAGAAAGACGCAAAAACAACATGTGTAGCGAAATGAATTAGTTATGTTGGTGTACATATACAATATTTATATAAACCAACAAGAACTTTTTAGTGAGACATTTCCTAGAAAACAGAAAATATAAGATAAAGTTAGTTAAATTACAGTAAAAAATAAGTAAAAACTTTTGAAATTAGTGTTTTTACATTAAACGCTATCATAACTTTATAAATTCTACGACTTCCTGTTATGTACTGATGACCAATTGATGTCACATTACGTCACAACGTTGACCTCTTTACATGGCACAGATAAAGTCAGGTATTTCAGTAGTGGCACAGACGACACAAGCTAACAAGCACCAGGTCAATCTTTTGTATGCATTGTGCGACTTTTTCAACAACCAGTGCATTCTTTTCGTCTCATTGTTCTTTCTCAGAGACGCAAACGCATCCACTCCTTGTGACTTATAAAATCCAATAAAACTATATGATTCTCCGATATTACTATTCTTTTTACCTCATATGTCTCTTTACTGTATCCATTTTGCGTTTCACTTTACTTACTTCTTCTCTGGCGACTCAAACTGCTGTACATCGGTGCAAAGTTCTGTGTTGAAGCCAGTCAGTCAGCTTCATTGTTTTTACTCCTAGTGAAATATACAGCTTTGGGCTTTTTTTAATTCTCAGTAACTGTAATGTTATTTCTTTTTTCAAGGAATGAAGGTGCTTGTCTGTAACGAGCTTACTACCGGCTAGGTGAGATTCAGGTTTCGGTCAGTCGGAAGTCAAACGAAGATCATTGAGACATCAACACACGGTGAAGTACGCTATTTGAAGTTGTAGAACCCTCAGCCAACTCCAATAAATGCAATATTACACCATGATACATATAGATGTACAAGGAATACAATATGGACTGGTTGTCAATGACATCTCAGAATGAATATAAAAGATCTACCTGATGCTTATTAACTGGTATCATCCGTGCTACCAGTAAAACAACTGAGTGTTTGTTACTGTCAGATCAAGAAATTAATGCAGGATTTTAGACAGAATTATATTAGTTTAAGTTGCCACAAAATTAAAAGAAAATGGCAGTAAAACAGTACGACACTGGATAGCCGATTTGAGATGCATAGGAATAATTCGATGGAGGAAAAGCTTTCTATAACTACCAGTTATAACATCTCTGAGATTCCTAATTTGTTTTTAAGTAATGTGCACTACTTTATAACAGATTGAAGCATTTCTATAAAAAGTGGGAGATGTGAAGTCTCTAAGGGACTTCGATTAGCGTGGTTTTCATTGCATACGATTTCCTTGGTGGAAGCATCAATGCGGGCTTCACATCTAAAGTAAGAAATAAAAGAGATTTTGTATGCCATCATTGACTGTAGCCAAAATGAGTATCGTGTATGCTGTCAAACCAATTATTCCACAGCGGTATACCGATTACAAGACATCGGTGAAAAGTTGTATGTTGAAAACAGACAGACAGACAAGACTATATTACAAAACGAGCTTCAAAACTTCAGTTTCAAGCTTGTTACGGTGCCTGAATTTCTCTATATGTAAAGTCACCACTTTAAGACCCCAAACTATATTTTTTTTATTTTTTTTTTGATTTACAGCTTGATTCCACACCGTACTTTTCAGTACAAGTATGGAATTTTCAGCATGGATATCGGTAGCCCAAATTCAGGCCGACCATAGATATCGGGTGTGCGCCGGCAGGGGATCGAACCCCGGACCATGTGCATGGTCGGCGAGAGTCCTAACCACTGTGCCAGAGATGTAATTATATCTCAAATTTTAAGTATACTAGGGCTATATATATAGCGCTATCTAGCATTTTCTTCCGGCGCACTGCAGAATGTGGGACAGTACTCGAAGTTCGCCCCAAAAATTCTGCAGTGCGCCCAAAGTCAATGGTAGTTAGGAGTACTTTGCTAAATCATAATGATTTTGAGGGCGTACATTTGCAGCAGAAACAGATTCACTTTGAGTGGTCAACGATTTGATTATCTGTTGTCACTGGGCTCAGAATGTTGTAAATATGGATACTATCTATACGTATACGTACGTGGTACGAATACTGTACAGTATACAGTATATACACTTAATTGACTTCGGGGAGACTGTAAAATGTTTGAGGTGGACTGAAGATCATTGTCCCGCGTTCTGCAATGCACCCGAAGAAAGTGCTAACTAAGAAGTTGCCTGTAACATTTTTAATTTTGCCATAGTTCTGCATGGTTGTAAAAGTAAATAACTAGCGCTGAAGGCGAAAATTTACAGCCTACGCGTTTCTGTCACCGCTGATTATTTTTCTGATCTCCCTAAAGTATATGCAACATCGATTTACATACTTACAAAAAACATAAAAAAAACATAAAATGCAACGCACGTTTTGAAAGCCCACGTTTTTCTTCTCCCGCGTTCAAGGTCCAATATCCAAGGTCTATTCAGATTTTAGATTTATTGGTTGAGAATAGAAAACTTAGAACCTGTGTTAATCCTTTTTTAGAAAATTTCTTTGGTTTTTAAATCGCTCTTGATTGAATCCGTTAAGGTTCCAGGCACCACTTCTGGGAGTCAGTTCTAAGAGTTCATGACTCGGTGTGAGAACCAGTACTAAACAGCAATATGATTTCTTCTTGGCTTTTGAACTCTTCTGCTATGTCCTCTGAGGTCTCCCGACCTGATGGAAAGGAAAAGAGAATAAATCAGGTCCGCAGTCATTATTTAAAATTTTAAACATTGTGATTAAATTATATATGTCCAAACCAAGTTGACTTTTAACGGTTTGAAAAAATTTGGGCATTGGGTATATGATATTCATTATAATAAAGGTTTTTGTATTTCCCAATGAATGAAAAACAAAACGATATTGTTTTTACTGACGTTTCGCTATTTAATGCTAATATCAGAAGAGTACTCAATCAGCTCGATATTAGAGTTTTCTTCAAAACATCAGACACACTTCAAAGCAACCTTGTCCATATAAAAGACCAAATCCCTAAAGATTCGCTATCTAATTGTGTTTATAAGATAAAATGCTTGGAATGTGATGCGATATACATCGGACAAACTTCTCGAGAAATCAAAATCAGAAGAAATGAACACCGTAGAGCATCTCTTCGACCACCGAAGAATCCTGTTGAACTACAAAGACTTGAAAAATCATCAGCCATAGGTCTACATGCTATAGAATCAGGCCACAAAATTGATTTTGACAATGTTGAAATAATCCAGAAAAACTTCAGAAATCACAAAGAACGTTTGATATCAGAAGCACTTCATATCAAGTGGAATCAAAATTGCCTGAATAGGAATGATGGACTAAAACAGAATCTGACCTGGTTACAACACCTCCCTCCCCCCCATCAAGTGACAAAACCAACACGAATGTGATAAGCACTTTCATTATGTAAACACACGCTGCTTTTATAATCTCATACACTTATCAAATCCAACAATCTACACATGATGATTTTGTTATCTTTACCAATTCACCAACTTAACAACTAAAAATGTCCCAGACAGACGAACGATGATCAAGTTAGTAAAATTTTCTTTCTTTTTTCGATATCATAACAGACATACTATTACCTTTGTTATTTGGTATAGTTATCTTCATCGCTATTTTTACTTTCAATATGTCCCTTTAACTTGACCTATGTCTATTTTCTCACCCCCTAACTGTTTGTTATATATATGCTGAGATTTTGTAAATTCCGGTTTAATAATACTTTGATAAAGCTATTAGCATTAAATAGCGAAACGTCAGTAAAAACAATATCGTTTTGTTTTTCATTCATTGGGAAATACAAAAACCTTTATTATAATGAATATCATATACCCAATGCCCAAATTTTTTCAAACCGTTAAAAGTCAACTTGGTTTGGACATATATACTTTAATTAAAAACCGGATTACTCTATCAAAGCATAAATGTAACTTCTATAATCATCGTATTTTCAACGTACGCTGTCTACAAAGTGGAATTATTCCTAAGTCACTACGAGTTAAACCTCTTGAATATTCGCACAAATCCATACTTGCTGCAAATCATACCTCCAAGGTATTTTTACGAGAAAGAATACATAACTGCAACATCAAACTTGAATCTTATCGAACGAGAATCAAAAATATAGACGACTGTTTAACATTACTTGTTACAAGTCATATCTATGAATCCTTCCAAAAACTGTTTAATGAACGAGAATCTCATTTTCATAATGTCACTAAAAGAAGACAAATACAAAAATTCTTAAAACTCGAAGAAAAGAAACAACCAAAGAAAACCTCAACAAATGATATGAAGAATATTAGAGCCATACATAACATGTCAGACAAGATACTAACCGAAAGTGAAATCTCATTACTACAGAAAGGTCTGAATTTCAATATCACCAGAAAGCCATTATCGGTCCAGGAAATAGCACCTATCATTGAACCTGCTCTACAACAATTCACCAATGAAGAATCACAACCTGTTCGTCAAAAGATATCACACATATTAATGACACAACGAAACATACCATCTAATCTCAACAAACAAGAATATGAAGCCTTAAGAAATTTGAAGAAGGACAAAAGCATCGTTATAACGAAAGCCGACAAGGGAAATGTCACCGTGATTATGAACAGAACGGATTACGAAAAGAAGGCGATCGAACACCTATCTGAAGGACCATACTTACTCATTGAAGAGAAGAAGAAATCCGCCGAATTCAACAAAATGAAAATAAATACAAACAGAGTCCTTCAAGAAATGAAACCCAAAATTGGAAATCCTCTCTGGTTTAAACTAAAACCAAAGTCTTATGTACCTTCAAGATTCTACGGTCAACCAAAGATACATAAACCCACAGTTCCATTGAGACCAGTAATAGATTTCACCAACTCACCGACATACAACCTATCTAAATACTTACTCTCGATACTACAACCCCTACAAAAGGACACTCAAAATATTGTCAGGAATTCATATGATTTCAAATCCCAAATAGAACACCGAGAAATTGATAAAGAAGACATTATGGTAAGCTATGATATTAACTCATTATATACTAGTATCCCCATTACCGAAAGTCTTGATATCATCTCCAGTCTTCT